CTTCCTCTTTTTCTCTGACCCTCCACCTTATCAAACATGATATCCTTCTCCAGTGACTGGTCCCTCCTGACAAGTAAGTCCGAAGTATGAGAGATGAAGTTTAGCCATCCTGGCGTCTAAGGAGCACTCTGGCTGCACTTCTTCCAATACAGATTTGTTTGTTATTTTGGCAGCCCATGGTACTTTCAATATTCTCCTTCAGTTCCCTAACTCAAATGCATCAATTGCATCAATACAATTGACTTGTATACCTAGGTGAAATAATGTCCATGCAAAGGAAACCACTGGGAAAGTTCCATGAAGTCTTCACTTTCAAATAGTTCAATCAATGAAAGAGAACATAGGCTTACTTCCTGTTCTTCCTTGGTAGCATCAGAGGCATGATGCTCATTTGACCTTTTAAATTTTAAACCTGGGACTCCTAAAAGTGGCTGGCACCTTGTTGTTGTTGGTGAGCTTGAACTGCTGACCTTGCAGCATCTTGTTGTTGTTGTTGTTAAGTGCCATCGAGTCAATTTTCACCCATAGCAACTACGTATAGGGTTTCCAAGGAGCACCTGGTGAGCTTGAACCACCGATCTTGCAGTTCAAACAACTTTGCAATCTGACGCATTAGCCCAAAGGGACACACCAGGACTCCTTTGCAGCAACTTGTTGTTGTTGTTGTTAAGTGCCGATGAGTTGGTTTTGACCCATAGCAACCCTGTATAGGGTTTCCAAGGAGCAGCTGGTGAGCTTCAACTGCCGACTTTGCAGTTCAAGGGCTTTGCAGTCTGGCGCATTAACCTATAGCGCCACACCAGTACTCCTTAGGTTACCAGAAATTATTGTCACACAAAGCCTGGGTCAGTAATTGGGCATGACCATCTAAAAACTCAACTCTATTATGTACTTTTTGTATGGGTGTTACACCCTAACACACAAGGTTTAGCATGCCGAATCCAGGTAAAGGTAAAATGTTCTGGAGGAAGAGCTTGTTGTTAGGAGCCATTGAGTACAAGTGTTCCATAGTGTGTCCTAGGCTGTAATCTCTAAAGAAGCATACCTTTCCTCCCCTGGAGCTGCTGCGTGAGTTTGGACAATCTTTCAGTTAGTAGTTGAGCACTTAATTGTTGTGCCAGCAGAACTCTGACCAAACCATAGAAACTATCATTCAATTCCTAAGTGCTGGTGCAGCAACCATGCTAGATAAAAATACAGATTTATCACACACCTACAAAACAATTTAAAGTACACTTTTATAAAAACATCATTCCTTTCACAAAAGCTTAATGTTATTGCTGCTGTTGTTGCGGGCCCTCAAGTTGGTTCCGACCCATAGCAACCCTGTATATGGTTTCTGATAATGGCTAGTAGGTTTCAACTGCTAACCTTGCAGCTAGCAGGCCAATGCTCATCCTTGGTTTCTTTAAAAAAAATTTTTTTAATTACAGATTTTTCTTAATTAGCAAGTGCCCATGGAACATTAAAAATGAAATAATTCACAAAATTATGTTTTATACACAATGCCTTTTAGGAACAAATAGAATCTGTAAAACAAGTAACTTATTTTAATAAGTTTCCAGTTTAATTAGCCTGAGAAGAAAATTTACATTTTTTCGTGTACAATAGAAATGCAAATATTTATAATCAGGACAAATTAACATTGCTCATTTCTCATTATGCTACCCTCTCTTTTGAAAATAAAAACTCCTCAAACTCCTCCATATGGCTGAGTCAAACTGTGCAACTTGATTACTTTTTAGTTTGTTTGTTTTTTTAAATTTATTTTTAAGTAGTTTTTAAGCATATAATTCCTTATAATTATATGTTGTTGTTGTTGTTAGGTGCCAT